TCTATTCATTCGTTAATGTAAGAAATTTGACTGTCGTCAAGGCACAGCCTCTCACGGAATTCGGTGTGCGGGTATGCTGGGGTAGAGTCTAACTCATTAACCACTATGACGGACATAATCGGTTCTGAAGAAACACACCTCCACGGCTCGAATCCAGCATATCAGAAATATTCACTTCAATTCAATCAACATTGAGGTTCTGCTAAAGTTCCCTTCTTCCTTATTTTGCTTTGCCCCTGTTGGTACCCTTCTTGTTGGATGATGTCAGTCGGAATTACTGTTGACGGCCATACTACCACATCAAGATTAGGCGGGGCTCGAGCCTTCTCCCTCTCGTCTCCTAGTCATTTGGCAGAGTCACTTCTCAACTCGAGCCCAGGCAGACAGGAGCCACGCTTCAGCGAAATTACTCGGAAAACTCGAGCCTCAACTTCCTCTCATTTTGGGCAGCAGAAGTGCCTCTTTCGGAAGCCCCAAATGACTGAAGGTAAGCCCTCGCTCTTGAGCATTAGACTGAGACGGCAAGAGTCTGTCGGTCTGATACACTCGGTCACGCAAGAAACTGTACTGCCTTCTTGTAGACTTTTCGTCTCTGACCCTTCTGAGATCTACCTCTCCAACTGGCCTTCGTCTCGGCACTAGGCTCTGGGTGGTGTAGTACCGGTGGTGGGTTATTGTTTCACTTCACACAATACGTTTCTGAGTATGGGGGTAGACTCTGATGTATGTCCACGCGAAGTGGGCTCATGTGGGTCTGTCCAGGCTTGAGGCGGTATCGTATTTCTGGTGAATACCGTTTCTCGTAACGGCTTGACAACTGATGCAGTCGAGTGCAGGCATTCAGTAGGCCTAGCTATAGTTGTTGTTCATCCTTATGTGTTGTTGGTGTAGTTTATTTGTTTATTTGTTTGTTTGTTTATTGTGGTGGTGGTGGGGATCTGGCTGCTCAGATGTCAGATGGGCGAACGAGAGATTTTCGAAAGCCGTCTTCCAGTTGGAAAGTCTCTTCCACACCAGCCGCCTCGAGAAAGAGAGGCAGAAGCGACTAACATTGGTCGCTAAGCTACGAAATTCCGTCCGGAAGTCCAGTCTCTCGTCCACATGATGGACGCCAGAAAGTCTGATAGCCAAAAAGCTCAAAAGGTTTGTTTTCCGAGGTCGTTTATTCACCCGATGTGGAGGCTGGTGGATCACCTTAGCCTCGTTTGGCCTCGTAGGGCCGGCGATTACGGTTGAATGATCGAGAACAAAGCGTCTCCTCCAAACAAGTAAGTGATTGTGGTACAAGTCTTTGATAAAAATAAAGAACATGAGATGCCTTACTGCGTGTAACGGACATCAGCATCAGCATCAGCAGTAGGACCACCACCATTACCAGTTGACCTTCACAACTCAACCGCCTGACCTTCGGAGGGAAGAATTGTAGCTCTTTTCTCAGTCTCCACTTGGCTGTTTGATGACAGCAGAGTTTTGCCTCAAGAAGCCACAACAAACTGCTCCAGTTTGCTCGTCTAACCCTATGGCGTGAATTGACACGTACCTGGGTCCGAATCCCACCATTAGACGGAACAAGAGTCCGCAAACTACCAACCGCCCCAGTCGGATGGCCATTTGATGTCAGTTAGTCTCGAGACTATCAGAAATCTTTAATAAAAACCCTTTGCCAGTTCAAGTCGGTTGCTAGAAGCGATTTAAGTAGTGGGACAACTAAAATTATGATTCAAAGTTTACTGATATTTGTACAATCTAATCATCAGGTTTTAAGTAATATTGTAGATTGTAATTAAAAAATATAAGTTTAATTTTATTTTTGTAATCCCACTATAAATGTGACCTAAGAGGGTTGGATACTACACATCATTTTCGATTAAAAGACCTAAAGAGAGGCAGAGAGGCAAAATTCAATGGCATTCTGAGGCCCAGTTATTTCATTGATAGATTTATATCACTTCAGATTAGTTGCTTGTTGTACTGACTACGAGTCTGTCTAAGATTAAGCTAGAGAATACTTGATTTTTGCTTTTAATATCATCGGGTTTGAAGGAAAGCACATCAACTTCCCGATTACAGGACCCTTGGTCTATTGAGTTACTCGAAAGGCGCGATTTTCACATCCATTGTTCGAGTCCCGCCAAGAGTATTAATGACGAGATGAAATGGCCTTTTGGGTGGCATTGCTAAATTTAAGCAGTATCTTTATTTCGATAGGAAGCCCGTCAGAATTGGTACCTCCCAAATATTGCTTGTCCTTTGGCAGCTTCGAAAAGGACCGAGTGACGAATAGGGCGAAAGGACTCGAGGAAAGGTCCATCCAGAAGATGATTGAAAGGATGATTTTGACCATTTCTGCCCTCGTTCAGCGTCAATACATGTGCACCATATGGTACAACCACTTTACATTATGACATAAATTTTAGTATTATTTTTCGAATTAAGTAATGTTTTCGGGACTACCAGTAAATCATTAATATGAGATATATTCACACAATTTCGTTTAAGGTGATGAAGGACTGGAAGAAGAAGAAATTTCCCACAATGATAGGAGTCGAGCTGACGTTTCCATTGAATTTCACATAGCCTTGCTTTCCCAAAAGTTGTTCTCATCCAGACAG